TCCAGTGCTCTCCGACTCCTCTCACCAAGGGCGGCGTGGGAGCCTCGGCACCGTCGTCCCGCAGGGACCAGCCCTGGGGGTGACCCTGTCCCTGGGGATCCACTGTCTGGGTGTCCCACATCCCCATCTCCCTGGGGATCTCACCCTCCTGGTGACCCTGTCCATGGGGACCCGCTGGTGTCTCTGTGCATAGGGCTCTCTGCCCATTCTGTGCCCCATGTCCCTGAGGATCTGCCCTCCTTGTGCCACATGTCCCCGTGACCCTGTGCCATCCTGCTGTCCCATGTCCCTGTGCCCCTAGGATCTCTGCCGTCCTACATTCCCGTTCTCCTGTCTCCACTCCATGCCCCAGGCCCCGCGGGATCATCATGGTCCCCCTCAGCATCCCCAGACCTGTGGGGACCTGCCCTTCTGGTCCCTTGCTGGTCACACTGGGCCAGGGCTGCTCCCCAGTGTCCCCCAGCACCCCAACCCCTGCCAGGAACAAGGTACCCAGAGCTTGTCTCAGTCTGCTGCTGGAGATGTCCCTCCTGGAGCCATTTCCATGCCCATCAGTAGCTCATATCCATGGCCAAGTGTCTGTGATGGGGTTTATTCCCATTTTTAAAGCTGAATTTCTGGTTTTCTCTTCCCACCAGGCCCCAGATGTGGCAGCTGATGAAGAGCTGAGTGCCAGAGTCATCAGGAAGGGCAGTTTGTCCCCCAGCAGCTCCCGGGGCAGTGCCACCGAGTCCAGCACATTGCTGCAGGAGCTGAAGGGAACCATCTCGTAAGGGCAACATTCCCAGGCAGCTCTTCCCCTTACTCTGAGTTAACAAGTGTGGGTTAATTTAATGAGGTTAATTAATTTGCAGCCCCAGGGACCAAAGGGATGAGCATTGTGGTGCCTTGCAGAGTGGCATGACCTTGGGCAGGTGTCTGGAGAGATGGGGACATGGGGCAGGTCCCCAGGGGCATGGGGACACGGGACACCAGGAGGGCAGTAGTCCCCAGGGACACAGGACACCAGAGATACCTGTTTGGGTGCAAAACCAGTTCAGGGCTCCCCAGTAGCACAGACTGGTGTGCTGTGACCCCATTGGATGTGATTTTACTCCTGCCTTGCTCTTCTTGGGGTTAAGATAGGGCAGGTGGCTCTGGAGCAGAGCTGTGCACGCACAGGGACAGCCAGAGCACGGGGACAGTGGGCTGTGGTGAACTGTGGGTGGCTTGTGTGGGGTCTGGAAGGACCTCGGGAGCCCTGGGCAGAGCTGGGCAGGTGGAGGTGCGAGCCCAGAGGTGCTGTGGGATCATCCTGCTCTGTGCTAACACCACTTGTCTATGTCCCACACAGCAAATCTGTGCAGAGCAAAGTCGACTCCATCCTGGTGAGTGCTTCCATGGAATGTTGTGCTCTACTTCTACCTAAACTGAACCATGGATTCTGCCTGATCCCATTCCCCATCGGGTCAGGATCTGGCTGCAGGGATTAGCCATGAGAACCTCCTGCTCACCCCGCCAAGGGGGTGGCACTCACTCCCCAGCCCTGTGTGGGACAACCCTTCTCAGTTCACAGCATCACCTGCATCCTTGTGGATCCTTGACCTTTCTTTGTTTCTGGTCCATTCCTCCCCCTCCTGTGGACCCTTTAACCGTAGCAAGATGTCCAGAAGTTCTCAGACAGCGATAAGCTCTACCTCTACCTCCAGCTGCCATCAGGGCCGAGCACGGGGGAGAAGAGGTGAGTGCTGGAGTGAGCTGGTCCACGTCCGTGAGTGTTGGGATGGATGTGGGACAGGGGATGGAGGTGGCCACGGCTCTGCCTTCTGTCCTGCTTATGCTGCTTCTTTGCTGATTGAATGTTTGTCTCCCTTGGGAGCAGCAGCAGCCTGGACCTGAGTGCGCTGAGCACAGCTGAGTACATGCATGCCTGCAACTGGATCCGGAACCACCTGGAGGAGCACATGGACACCTGCCTGCCCAAGCAGGACGTCTATGACGCCTACAAGTGAGCTCAGGGGCTGTCCTGGTGCGAGGAACATTCCTTTCTGGGGCTGAATCCCAGTGAGGAGATCAGTTTGGAGGGCAGTGATTGCCTGGGATTGTGTGGGAATTGGCTTGGCTCAGTGTTGGGCTCCTGGAAGGGGCCACATCAGCAGGGAGAAGCTGGATGGCTTGAACCCGCAGCTTTCCCCGCAGGCGATACTGCGACAACCTCTGCTGCCGCCCGCTGAGTGCCGCCAATTTTGGCAAGATCATCCGGGAGATCTTCCCAAACATCAAGGCCCGGCGACTGGGAGGCCGAGGACAGTCCAAATATCCTTCTGCAAGCCCCGGCAGCTGCTCGGACTGGTGGCCACAGCTGCTGCTTCTCCCAACTTTTCACATTTCTAAGTCTTTGTACAAGGTGTTTTGTAGCTTCTGAGAGGAGCTGGTTCCTGGTTTTTTGGCTTGTTCATCTGACAGCAAAAGACCTTAACTCTGCCAAACATACTGCTACAGTGGGATCCGGAGGAAGACGGTGGTCAGGCTGCCTCCCCTGCCCAGCCTGGACCTCAAAGTGACTGAGACTGTAAGTCCTCTCAGCCTCCATGGCTTGAGTTTTGGTAGGATGATGAACCTCCTCACTCATTAGATCTAATGAAGGTGGGGATGAAGGGATGCAGGTTCTGCTCTGTCCCATGAACCTCCTGTTCTCATCCGCGGTGTCCCGTGTGGTGCCGTGGAGGGTCATGGCTCATTCCATGGGGTCTCACCGCTTGTCCCACCAGCAGCAGGCAGAGCTGACAGAGCTGGTGCAGTCCTACACCAGTGAGGTGATGGAGGCAGCCTGTGCCCTGACCTGTGACTGGGCTGAGAAGATCCTCAAACGCTCTTTCAACAACATTGTGGAGGTAGCCCGGTTCCTCATCCAGGAGCACATCATCAGCTCCCGCTCAGCACATGCCGAACTGGTCATGGCCATGGTGGTCTCAGGTGGGTGGGATGGAGCCCTGGTCCTACTCACCCCTCCTTGGGCTCACTCAGACCCTTGAGGGGTACAGGGTTTGGGAGACAGGGTCCTCTGGAACATGGGGTCAGCTGGCCACGGGGTGACTACACTGCTGCCCTCAGCTGTGGCTGAGGGGGTGTCCCACCCTTGTCACCTTCTGTGCATCCACAGAGAACACGGAGAAGATACACACGGACAGTCGGATCCCATCAACAGCAAAGAAGAATGGCCTGGACACCTCTGAGAGTGGTGACAGGAGCCAGGGGCAGGTGAGACCACACCAGAGCCATGTGGGGATCCCGGACTCCCATGCTGGAGGGGGCATGCTCAGGGAAGCAGCTCTGGCATCCCTCCTGCCAGCACCTCTCTGCCTGCAGACCAAGAAGGAGAGCAGCGCTAAGTCCCTTGCCCCACCC